TCGGAAATTGGAAAATTGATTGTTACCCTGACGCGCGATAAAATATGCTCGACTATTGTTCAATCAGCGTTATGGTTCATGCACGTACATACACAAATATCACTCTTCCGGTAAAATGTTAAAGGCTAACAAAGTTATGCTTTCGTTAAACTTAACTCGGCAAGCAAGATTATATAAATAACGCTTTTAGATAAATTGAACGAAATTCTTTTCAGATGTGCCAGCTGCGTTGGTGAATCTGCACGCGCACAATGGTTTCGACATTCCGACGGATGGCAATCTGGTAGTTCGACACTTGGCTCTGGTGCTTCGAGTTTGATGAATCCCAATTACTCGGGGCATAAACGCGAGTCCCCGTGGGATTCCCTGCCGTCGTTGAGACACGAGGGCAGCCTAAACGATAGCGGATACAAATCGAATCGAACCGATTCTTTGGAACAAAGGTGAATATGATGACTCGACCAGCTGGTATTGCATTCTATGCAGAGATGAGAAAATGTCTAAAGTGATGATACAGTGGCAAGAGTATCTCTCGTCATGCAATTTTACATGATCCGATTCGTCGATGTTATCGAGAATAACGATACCAATAATGACAACACACGTGGTCCATTTCTAAGATTGTGTTAGAGAAGGTGAACCTATGGGAATTAGACCTCTTTTTTTTTGTTTATGCCGGGGAGATCTGCAAGACACCTAGGGAGATCTCCTTTCCCTAGGGAGACCTCCTTTCCCTAGGGAGACGGGGTAGTGTTGAATTTCTACTCACTAGAAACCTCCATGGTTATGTGAAGCCCTGGGTACCTTTTCAGACGCTTCCGAGACTCCCCCGTGCCAAGTCTTGCGGCTCAACCGGTGAGAGGGGCTCGAACCGACTCCTCCTACAATAACTCCTAAGATTCCTGGCAGAGCAAGTGGACAGCATCCTGCTCCGTCCCATTCCGAAACATGGGGATGTGACCTAATCAGACTTGCATTCCTTGCACTAGCCAACTTCTCATCTCTGCATACTTACATACGTTGTCTATGTCGCATTTCACCTCCACTATATGTCATTAAAGGAATGTAACGAAACGGAAACGTTAGAAACAGAAGGAAAGAAATGTTGGGAAATTTTTGCTTCTTTCGACGACTTGTCGGATTAGTATAGGAATATTCGTTGCAACAGGCGTTGAACATTTCTGCAGTTATGCAAAAATGCTTCATTAATAACCACCGCTCTGTCCAATGATCGTTAATTAAGACGCGTATATAACGTGTTTCTCCTCGTTGTTTTTCAGGGGCACGTTTGATAGACAGGACAGCGTCAGATCAGATTATATGTCCGACAGAGATGGAAGGTATGGAATCGTTCAACAAGCATCTCTGGAGAGCACAGACTCGAGACTTTGCTACTTAACATCCTCAGAGGTGAGTTGCTTCGATAGTTGTTGACCTTATCAACTCGACGTGTACACTATATCCAGACTCCTCCACTCTGAGCGATTTGTTATTATTACGTGGTTGGCCGAATTTTCGTTTTCCCCGAACGGAAACGAAACGTCGCATCGAGTCGGTTACGCACGAACGTCTTCGAACAATAACACGCGCACACAAACGCACAAGAGTGGGGTGGGGGTGGTTTAATTTTGCATATCGAAAATACGTATACGCGTAGTTGGGATAGATTTCCGTGTAAAATTCTAACACGATAATGTTACAAAAAAAAAAAAATGAGGAAATTAGCTGAAATGCGCAAATAGACGTGGCATAATTATACATACGTATACAAACAGCGGATGATTGTTTTCTACCTTGGTTACAACGCGGCGGCGTTCTATTATCAACCAATTCGAAATCTTTCTTTTTCCTTTCTTTCACGCTTTTGTCTAATCCGCACTCTCTATCGTTGGATAAATCCGAGGAAGGTAAACTGCGACGTATATACATATTTGTTACAATACGTGTATTATCTCTATACGTTTTCTACATATACAGTGTACAGTGGGGCCAAAGTGACACAAAAATATGCATGTTCTGATAAACACTTTAGAATCGCTCGTTCGTCAATATTCCAAATAAAACGCACGTCTAATCGTCGAACATCGATAAACCACCGACTTACCTGCCTACATGTACAGTACATACGTACTTGCGTACGAGTATGTGCGATTTGGCATGCCTTACCTTTCAACAGAGTGAAACAGAGATTTGTGTCGGGTTTCTGCAGCATCGTCATCTTTCGCATCACCTTTGTTTTTCTTCTCTCTCTTTATTATACACTTTGCTACGGAACGACACGTATTCGAGTCTCATGGACGAACCTCGAGGGTGAAAAGAAAAGAAGAAACGAAATTTCTCCGAAGTGAATCTTCGAAAGTTGCTCCTATAGGAATAGTCATTGTTTCTAATGACGGAACAATACGGAAGAACGTTGCGCCAGGGTAAAGTGAGACGGAGAACAGGTTCTTCTTGCCGACAGATCTTCTTCGAATGAAAATAATTCCAGTTTCGCCGTGATTAAGCAAAAACGGATCGACAAACGGAAGGATCGTTTATCTCATCTAACACAGTTGAAACAGTCGTTGGAAGAAACTATTTCCAGTGGAAAAATTTCGTCGAGCAACGATGAAAGATACAGTACCTACTCCGAGGAGGACACGCATTCGGTCTTGTAATATAATAATACAGTAGCATCCGCTACCGCCGCGGCAAATCCGATCAATCGTGATTCCCTCCTTGGTTCCTATTGATACATCGCGAAAAATAAACACGTTACTTGCGAACTATAGATCGGTGTTTGCAAGACAGCCGAAGCGTGAGAGGTGGTTTAATAAATGTCAGAGTGGGGTGGTAACGTCAGTGTGTGTGTTATTATATATCGGTTGATTCGGCCATGCTGGGGAATCGACGCCACTCGTTCTCTCCTCTCTGTAAAGCGTAGGTATATAGTGGTACATATAGAAGAGAGCAACCCTTTCTCTGGTTGCTCGCGCTGCTTTCGAAACGCGTTACCCTCTCCCCCGCGAAAAGTTCCACCACAGGCAGCAGCATTAGCCAGCAGCAGAGGTGGAGGCGGCGGCGGCGGCGCAGCGTGGTTCGCTCTATGCTCTCCCACCCCTATCTATGCCGCGTCGTCGCCCATTTTCCCATTCCAACCCCGCGTCGGTTCCGGGCTGCTCGCCCAACTCTACCCCGACCCCCTTTCGGCCTCGACAGAACGAGCAGCGAGCGAGGTATTGATTCCCCTCGCGATAGCAGCTCCACTTCCCTGTTCTCCAGCGCACCAGTCTGGAGCAACGCACGTTCGTGGTTGCGGACCACCGATATACCCGCTCGTTCGTTGCAAAGTCAAGAGGAAACAGCTCGATAATTAGAGCCGAGGATAGTTCTGTGATACGAATACTTAGAGAAACCAGAGAAATCCGAGACGGTGATTTCTCTGATCCACTGGGAATACTACCGGGGTGGTAATTTCGTTCGTTCGCTACTGGTTTGATCGGTTGGTTCTCCAACAATCGGAGGACCAATACCGTCTGGATTCTATCCAGCGGAGCATCACGCGCACATCACGATGGACGGGGATACCAGTGATACGCTCGAAGATTGGCCGTACGCGCAAGCTACCCTCGTCACACGTTACTGTTGAACGACCATACGCTGCTACCGATTATCGCTCGCGAAAGATTAAGATCGCCAGTGGCGGCCGAGTAACAATTTTCAATCAGAACAGAATTTCTCTACGGACTCGTAGATAGGATAAGCAGCCTTACCCCCATCCGACAACCACCGCCACCACCACCGTCACCCCCCAACCCCCCAAAAACCCGCTCTGTACCAGAGAAGAACAATTCTACGAGAACGACCGAGAATATTTTCGTCCGAGGAATTACACGCGATTTAACAGTTGTTCCCACACGTGCAGGCCCACGTGCTGTCAAAGAGGAGAGAACAATTAACGTATATAGTCGTTGCGAGACTAGTTTTAAACATTCATACGAGTACATACGAGTGTGATTAGTATGTGTACCTGGCATATCTATTTTTTTTTGTTTTTTCAAACGGTTTAGATTCAAAGATTACACCGGATAGAACGTGATAAAGATCTATATATAGACAGACGAACAGACAGACAGATAAATAGCATAGACAGACATAGAGAAAGAGAGGGGTAGAGGGGTATAGGGGAGGAAGGAGAGAGAGGTGGCGGATGTGATGGGACAAAAAACAAATTCATTCTAACGAATGCTACTCCGAAGTACAAAAGAGGAAACAGACAAAAGAGAAACGTGATATACGAGAGAAGAAGATAAAAACTCTGATAAGAAAGAAAGAGAAGAACAGAGGAATTTAAGCGCGGTTGGTTTGTTACGCGCCGAGTAGCTGGCCGAAGGCAAGGTTTATGACGAGGAGAGAAAGAGAGAGAGATTTTAGTGTTCCAAGAAATAAATATCTACATGTGTACGTAT